CTTTAATGGTGATTTTGCAATCATTGATTTTCAGGGTAATCTTATTTGTATAGAAATTGATATGTATACTTCTTATAATTAATTATATAAAGTTTTGAAAGCTAAGAATAATATAGAACTAAATGAACCCACAATCTCTTCCTCAAAATAGATAGTTTAAATAAACTTATGCAGTGATAATGTATTACTGCTATCAGCATCTATTGCCAATAAAGAAAATAAAAGTTTTAATTATATAGAGACTTTAACATTGATTCAACTAGATCTAGATGTAGATAATTCAAATATTCTTAAAGGATATTAGAGTATTTTAGCACATCTAAAAAAAATTGCTTACAAAATTATGTATATATGATGCTTCGGTTCTTTCTAAGGAAATGAGGGAAATTTTGAATAACACTTATCTTGATCCAAAGATCTGTATTTATAACATCAATGTAATCCCAAAAAGTATTTTTTAGGAGAAGATTGAAAGGCTGTGAAATTGTTTGAGCCGAATGTAAAAAGTAATCTTGATCATCTTCAACACTCTATTATTGTGAAGATATTTGGAGGAAGAATCCCGGTTCAGTTGATTGCCACAGAATTACGCCATCAATGGAGTGAATTTGGCAAATTTCATTTGACCGCAATTGGTTCAGGATGGATGCTGTGTTCTTTTTTTTCAAAAGAGGGAATGGAGAATGTATTATCTGGAGGAACTTGGTTCTTAAATGGGCATATAATTGGTATGGATAAATGGAGCTTTGATTTATCTCCTTTATCTTTAAAAGGGTTATGTTATCCGGTGTGGATAAGGATGCCCAGCCTTCCTCTTTATTGTTGGGATGAAATTAATGTTGCAAGAATTGCTTTGTTAATTGGTAATCCTCTTCTAATAGATGGTAACATGTTTCAATGGAGTAAAAGGGAATTTGCTGGAGTTTGCGTGAGGGCGGAGCTTGATAAGCAACTCCCTTTGAGAGTTTGGGTTGAAGGTCCAAATGTCAGATTTTTTCAAAGAGTTGAGTAAAGATATCCTCTTTTTGTCATAAGTGTGGAAAAATTGGGAACTTAATCAATTTCTTATCAAATGAAAAAGTTGGAATGAATTAATGAACCGGCTATGGCACTAGAAATTTGGAAGGTAATTATGGGAATTCTGAGCCTAAGGATCCTTCCTATGGCCCTTGGGTACTTGTCAACAACAAAAAAAAGAAATGGACTGCTGTTATGAAAATAATAAGGCTACTATTCCAAAATTTGTTCCTGCTTACAAAAAGATGAATTCTAAAGAGTCGAAAATACTGAAAGCTAGAAATGGAGACATAGTTCTAAATGGGGAAAAAACTCTACAAACGAGGAAGGAGATTATAGAAGCATCAGAAGTTCTAAATCAAGAATCAGCTTCAGGAAGAGTCGAAATGGTAAATAATTCTCAATCTGATTTTTCTATTCCTAGAAATAACAAATTTGAAATACTTGGTGATCTAGAGGAAGAAAATGGGAAAAATATTTTGGTTGTGAATGTTCAAAATGCTGAACCTGAAATTGAAGAAGGAGAAATTTTAAATTTAGCAAAGGCTTTTGAGTATGTTGCTGAGATTGTTATGGGATCATGTGAGAAGGAAGTCATTGATATTGGCTCAATAGCTAATAATAAAGAATTAGATACAGTTGGGAAGGTGAAGCCTAAACTTCAAATGAAGCTAAAATTTTTGGGACCATTAAATCAATCCTCAAGAATTAAGAAGCTAGATGGCTTGAACAAAAAAAAAGGGTGGGGGACCATCCCCCATGGAGGCTAAATGAGTTCACTTGCTTTTTGGAATTATAGAGGGGAAAATAAGAGGGAAGCCTCTCTATATTTGAAGGAGGTGGTTAGAGATTGGGATGTTTTTTTTGTTGGTATAGTAGACACTAAAGATACTACTATGGATAAATGGGAGTTTGGGAAATGTATGGGTGAAGGATGGGATTTCATTTTATATCCCTCTAATGGGATGTCAGGAGGAATAGTGGTAATGTGGAGAACTGATATTGTAGATTTTTTCTTGATAAAAGCTACGGAGCAATTTGTGATTGGGAAGCTTAGTGTGGTGAACATAGAATCCTGGATAATCTCTACTATTTATGGTAATAGAGACGTGTATAGTAGAAGAAATCTTTGGGAATGTTTGGGATTACATTCTTCTTTTGATATGCCAGCTATTATTGGAAGTGATTTTAACTATATTTTATCTCAAGAAGAAAAAAGAGGAGGTAAAAAGTTTAAATTCTCTCTTTCTCCTCAAGAGATGAACTCTTTTATGAATGAGTTTGACTATCACGATGTGGGGATCATAGGTACTAAATATATGTGGTGTAACAATAAAACTAGGAATGCTAGAATCTAGGAAAGACTTGACATATGTTTACTCAACTCTAAAGCTTTGGAATTGGTTCCTCAAGTAGCTAATAAACATGTGGCTCGGGTGGCTTCAGACCACAGTCCTGTAGTATTTCAGATTTTTAATAAAAAATTTTAGGATTCCAAATTGCTGAGATTTGAAGATCTTTGGTTGTCAAACCCGACATCTTTTAATGTGGTGAAGAAAGCTGGAGCAAAGTGGTTGAAGGTGACCCTATGGAGGTTTTGAATAAAAAATTTCATAAGGTGTTAAGGGCTCTATTCTTTTGAAGTAGAGCTAAACATCAATACCTTATGGAGTTAAAGGAGAAGCTTAAGATGGAGGTGGCTATTTCGCAAAAAGAGGAAATGAATGGGGAAGTAAATGTTGATGAGATCCATTTAATACTTAAAACAAAGGTACATGATCTAAATGTCACTCTAGCTTGTTTAAATATGTGGTGGAGACAAAGAGTGAAAGCAAAATGGTTGGAAGAAGGTGACACCAATTCAACTTTTTTTCATGCTTTTGCTAATGGTAGAAGGAATGGGAATTTCATTAAGAAAGTGAAAATTGAGGCTGGATTTTTTTGAACCTTCAGCATTATCACTCCAAACCAAATTACAATCATTTGAGCTAACAGGCATACTAGCTTTGGACCTGTTTTCCTTTCCAGCTAAGGCACGTTCATCTTTTCCATGACAAATTTTCCCACAAATAACAAGCATAAGAAGAAGTTTTGCTGTGAGAAAATCTAGAGAGATAGTCTTTCTTGGTTTCAATTTTTTTTCGCGGCTTTTTATTTTGCTGGTTCCAGCGGGTGGAATGGTGGTTCCCGACCACCGGCAGCAGCTTGCCGGCGGTAATCTTTCTTTTGTTCACCATCATAATGGTCCACTCAAATCATTGAATCAAAATCTCAACAAGATTTGCATTGATCCGAATGAAGAAGTTTCGGTAAAGAAATCTTCAAACTTGATAATCAATGAAGGATTCCGACCCCCTTTGCGATTATAGACTATAATGGAAGGAAAAGGAAAAGGAGTTCTTGAAGATCGAATTGCTGTGGTGAAGGAAAAGGAAAAAAACCTGATTCTTTTGAAAATCAGGTTTTTGACTCTACATCATCTTCAAATGTGGTGCTGAAGGTTAATAAATTTACAAGATATTGATGTTCTGGAGCAGATAAATAAAAATTTTTCAATTTCCTTTTAAAAGGAAGAAGGGATTGTTGTTACGGGTTCTGTTATTGATTATAATGCTAAATCAGTTCATACGAATAGCTTTATGTCGGCGTGGCAAAAAACTCAACACATTAAGTTGAGTTATAATTTGAATTCTACTCAGATGTCTGAAGATGGGAAGGCGGTGAAGATAAATCCAGAAAAAGAATTGGCCAATACTCAAATCTTAAAGAAATCCCTGGTAATCAAGGTGCTTGGACAGAATATCCCATTCTCGGTTTGTAGCCTTGAACTTAGAAGACAGTGGAGTAAATTCGGCAGCTTCCATCTTACTACTTACTTCAGGAAATAATTGGATTCTTTGTTCTTTCACTAACAATGAATCCATGGAGGAAGTACTAAGTGGAGGACCTTGGTATATTGGGAATCATATTATTGGGATGGATAGATGGACATCCTCTTTCTCTACGGAATCATTGAAAGGTATCACTTCTCCGGTGTGGATTCAATTCCTGAGACTTCCTTTGAGTTGTTAGGATGAGGAGAAAATTTCTAAGATTGTTTCTATGATTGGAGTTCCTATGTTATTGGATGGAAATTCTTTCAAATGGGGGAAGAGATAATATGCAAGATGTTGTGTTCGGATAGAGCTAGAAAAGAAACTCCCTAAGGGAGTTTGGATTGAAGGATTGCATGGGAGATCATTTCAGAATGTAGAGTATGAGAAGTTGACTTCAGTGTGTTATCAATGTGGAAGAGTGGGACACAGTAAAGTTTCATGTCTAGAAGCTAACAATTTGGTGGTTAAAAAAACAATTGTGAATGAATCCAGTGAATCTTTGAAGCAGGAAAATGATATGGCAGATGAAGGTTTATAATAGCAAAGCAGAGATGAGTATGGGTCTTGGATTCATGATAAATTTAAAAATAAGATATTCAAAAATACATGGAAGAATAATGGTAATTCTGCTCAAGTTAAACAGGTGTACAAACCTGTTGATAAGATGGAAAAAATACAGGAGGATGTGCAGGAAAGGGGAAATTCTAATGCAGCTAATTTTCAAGATGAATCAGCTAATCATAAGGAGGTTGTTGGTACTGAAATGGTTTGGTCTCAGGTAATTCCAATTGATTTTAATAGCAAGAACATGTTTCAATTATTAACAGAAGATATTGAGGAAGGGGAAGTTGTTGAAAGGGTTGCTACTTATTATGATAATGAATCCAAGCCGATGGATACAGCTGAAGATGAAGTTTTTCCTGAAAAATATAGCTCTGTTGAAGTACAGGAAAATGGAGATCATTTGATATCTTAGACAAGTTCTGGTAAAGTAAAATTATCAAAAGAATTAAGGTCTTTGGGACCTGTGGAAGCTGAACAAAGAAAGAGGAAAGGTGAGAAGAAAAATAATAAAACAATGGGGGATAATTCCCCTACTATTTTATAATGGCTTATGTTATTTTCTGGAATTGTAGGGGGGCCAGAAAGTGGGAGGCCTCCCTATATTTTAGGGAGATTTTGAAAGACAATGATTGTTTTTTTGTTGGGCTGACTGAGAAAAAGATTTCCTGTGTAGAAAGACATGATGTTGATTTGATTACTGGTAGTGATTGGTACTACTTTCATCAACCGGTTGTTGGCCTCTCAGGGGGGATTTTAGTGCTGTGGAAAAGAGATTTGGCTTCCTTTGAAGTCATTGAGCATTCTTTCCAATTGATTGTGGTAAATATTAACATCAATGCTTTAGGCAAATGGAATGTGGCCACTGTATATGGAGCAAAGGAGGTTCAAACCTGGAGGAATCTATGGCAATCTCTTGAAGATCATATGCTTGGTGATCTTTTTGACTATTATTGGAGGTGATTTCAATTGTATCCTTTCTAAGGATGATAAGAAAGGGGGTAAGAGATTCCATTTTTCTTATGGACCAAAGGAGATGAAGATGTTCTTAACAAATAATGACTTTCATGATCTTGGTTTTGTAGGTCCAAGGTTTACTTGGTGTAATAATAAAGAAGGTAACTCTAGAATTTGGGAGAGATTAGATAGATGCTTTTTGAATTATGTTGCCCTTCAAAGAATTCCTATGGCTAAGGCGCGACATCTATCAAGGATTGCTTCAGATCATGATCCCATTTCTTTGAATATGGTTGAACCTCAAAATCTTAAATCTAAGTTTTTTTTATTTGAAGATACTTGGAAGTCATATCCAGCTACTTGGAATATTGCTTTAAAGGCTAGGAGAAAATCTGATTTTGGTACAAATGCTGAAATTCTGAAAAGAAAGTTAAGAATAACATTGAAAGCACTTCATTTTTGGAAAAAGAATAAATGCAAAGAATTGAATATGTTAAACGATGAGTTGAAAAGGGATATTTTACAATTACAATTTGAAGAATCGAATGGTGAAGGACTCACGGATGAAAGACTTAAGTTGTTGAGAAGAAAGGTGCATGAACTAAATATTACATTGAGTAGATTATCTACTTGGTGGAATCAAAGAGCAAAAGCCATATGGCATCAATAAGGTGATAGTAATTCCAGGTTTTTTTATCATTTTGCATCAGCTAAGAAGAATGGTAACCTTATTTGGCAAATCAAGAATGAGAATGATCATTTTGTGGAGGATTTTGAAAAAATTGAAGCTCTTTTTTATGATTTTTTCCGAAAGAAATGGGCTTTTAGAGAGTGCAAGTTGTCTGGATGGCCTTCTATTCTGGATAACCTGTAGCTTTCTAGTAAGGATGCTGATTTTCTCAGTGCTTATTTTACCAAGGAAGAATTGATTAAGGCGGTCTTCAGTCAAGGTAATAACAAATCCCTGGGTCTTGATGGTATTACAACTTCATTTTTCAAATTCTTTTGGAAAATTGTTGAGGAAGTCACTTGGAATGCTATTGTTAGCTTTTTTAAAACTGGAAGTATGCATAATGACTGGAAGGATACATTAGTGATTTTAATTACAAAAAATCCAACTGTTCCATCAAACTTTAGGACTATTAACTTGTGCTAAACTACTTATAAAATTGTGGCAACTATGATTTTGAATAGGCTAAAAAATTTTATTTCAAAATGTATCACTGAAGAACAAGTTTCCTTTCTTCATGTCGTTCTATGTTTGACCATTGCCTTATTTCTCATGAGATTTTTCATAAGCTTAGAATTTCTAAAAACAAAAAAGGTTTGATGGTGGTTAAGCTTGATATGGAGCAAGCTTATGATAGTATGAGTTGGGAGGCTTTAGAAGTAGTACTAAAGATGTTTGGCATTCCAATGAGAATGATTTTGCTGATTTTGGAATGTGTCAGAAAAGCTAGGTTCTCATTCATCATTAAAGGCAAAGCTTCCAAGTGGATTGTTTCTGAAAATGGGTTTCGTCAAGCATGCCCCCTTTCTCCATTTCTTTATATTGTTTATTCTAAAATTTTCTCTCTAGCTATGGCACAAGAAGGTAAAGATTTGGGAATCCAAATCTCACAAAGAGCTCAAAAAATTAACCATCTGTTGTATGTTGATGATGTGTTGATCTTTTCACAAGCTTTAAAGAAATTGGCCTCCAAGTTAAAAAACATTGTGCTGAACTTCTGTTCCTGGACTGGAATGCGAGTGAACAACACAAAATCCCAATTTGTTTTTAGTAGAGGTATGAAAAAAGTTGAGACTGTTCGGGTAAAGAAGATTTTGAATTTCAAAACCGTGAAAGAGCTGCAGTACTTGGGAGTAAATTTACTGCTAAGAAGACCGGTCAGATCTGATTTTCAATTTCTTATTGATAGAACTATGCAAAAGCTGAACACTTGGGGAGGCAAATGTCTTTCTTTGGCAGGAAAGTTTTTGCTTGCAAAAACGTCTCTATTAACTCTCCCAAATTTTATCTCGACCTATAATTTGGTGCATAGAAAGGTGCTGTTGGAAGTGGATAAATGTTGCAGGAATTTCATTTGGCATAAGAGGAACGGTATGAAGGGTATGCATTATATAGCTTGGAATACTCTTTGTAAGCCAAAAACTGAGGGGGGGCTGAAGTTTCACTCAGCAGCCTGTAGAGCAGGTCCACTTAAAGCTAGGCTGTCATGGAGGTTGATTCATATTCAACTTTAGAAATAATGAATTTTTAGAAAAACCTTGGGGGGAAAATTGTGTCTCACCACGCAGATTTTGATTTCTCCTATTTTGTAATCGAATACTGCATTGAGAATAAAGTACAATCTCGAGAGATTGACATAATATTCTACAATGGATTCAATATCAAAATAGGGTTTTGAAAATTGATATTTCTATAATCTTTTACCGAAAATACTCGATGAAATCGAGAGATCTCTGGCTTGTTGCACTTGTAGACTGTCCACGCTCCTAGTTGTAGAAGAAACCTCGTCTCGAAACGTCCTGGATCGGTCTCGAAACGAAACGGAAGGGAAATCTCCTCGGGTCGCCGGAGAGTTCGCCGCCGGCGGCTTTGGGTGGTCGGGTTTGACGTGGGGAAGGGAGTGGAGTCTCTCTAGAGCTCTCACACGAAATCTCAAGTGTTGAGGCGGTCTAGAGAGAGAGCAAGAAAAAAAAAAGATCTTAATTTGGACAAAATTTTTCATATTTAAAGCCCCTAGACCTAATACCAACGGCTGGGATTAATTCCTGATGTGATTTGGAGGGAAATAGGTCGGTTTTGGCCGTGGAATTCATTTGAAATTCGAAGGAGTTAAATTAGAGCCTTTACATGCATTAATTGGGCTCCTAATGGATGATTATGACCCATTAATGGACAAATTTGACCGAGTCAACATTTGACTTAGTCAAATCAGCCAATTGGGTCAATGGGGTTTGAGGTTCGAGCCATGAAATCCATGAAATTAATTTAGAATTGATTTTAAGCTTAAAGGGGCCAAACTGGTCAACCCTGGTTGACTCGGTCAACTGGGTTGACTCAGGGTCCAAGCCCGGGCTCAACAGACTCGACTCGACCCTACGAGCCTATTGGAGAGGGTCTTGGGGTCTGACTTGGTCAATTTGACCAAGTCAACCCTTTGACTAAGGTTCTGGGCAAAATCGAGGTCAACAATACACACTTGGGTAAATAATAGGTCTTAAATAAAAGAGCTTCAAATTTGCTCTTAATTGTAATATATTGATCCTATCGTCCAGGATGAGTGGCCGATCGTCACATATGATCAGTACAAATTCAGCTCAATCAGCCAGGATGATCTGGGAGAGTCTGGACTACTAGAATGTTTATTTGTTCAGATCATCCAGGATAATATTATATCGTTTGTACGATTAGTTCAAGTCATCGAATTGCATCCAGACCATCACCCTAAATGAATGTCTGGATGATGAAAAAATAACTTGATAATCTGGGACGATCTCAAAATCCTTCGGGCCGATTAGTACAAAATGATGAATATAGTCCAGAATATCGCCCTGGATGCATGTCTGGACGATGAAAATATAATCGATCATCCAGGAAGATACAGGATCGTTCCGGATGATTAGTACAAAAAATAAACATCGTATAAAACATCGCCCTGGTAGTATAGGACAAAATTAAGGTTTGTTTAACTGATCGTCCCAGACTATCCTGCTATCGTCTAGGATGATATGATCGAGCAATCAAACCTTAATTGATTTCCTTAATTACTAGAGTAATTTAGGCATAATTGTATTATATCATCTATGATGATGTTCTGGATGATGTCAAAAAATAAAAAATGCCTAAACAGTTCTGGCGGGTGATTCTTTCTAATTTGAGCCTATCATCCCAGACGATGCTAATATCATCTAGGATGATTTGCTTAATTGTGGCTTCCTTAACCAGGATGCCCTAATTAGGGTTTCTACTTTTAACTGATCATCCAGGACGATTTTGAATTATCCCGTACAATATGATTGAAAACAAAAAACTCTAAAACTGTCAAAATTTTTCCTCCGAGTGTGTGTGCAAGGTTACTTAGCATCAGGACCCACATTATTGCAATAGACTCAAGAAAAGGTAAAAGATAATTGACATACATTACAAGCTGACTCAGTCCTAATTTACCCAATCTTGAGCTAGTTTAATTTTCAATTTCATCTTGTGTACCTGAAATGTAAGTAGGCAATACAGTCTTAAAAAAGTAAAAGTAACAAAAATGTTTACTATTATCAAAATTATAAGTCCTAAAACCAGATTCGTAACAATCTCCTTCTTTTTTATGATGACAAACAATCAAATCTAAATAGAACACAAACATAAGTAAAATAGTACGATGAAACAACCAAACACTACCCACTAACAACATACTACTCCCCCTTTTGACATCACAAAATGGATGAGAAAACCATAAAAGAAAAACATAACAGAAGAAGAAAAAGAAGAGTGAAAGTACAATTTTTTTTATTAAAGCATGAATATGATAAAGTCTCCATGTGATTGAATTAAAAATTTGTAAGAATCAATGAGTTAACATCAACAAAATCAAAAAAATGGTAGAAAAATTGATCCTGTTTGCCCTAGCTCAAACTTCTCACATGGCAAACTATCTTTTGAAAATAAAGATCTAACTCAGAAAAAATAATTGGATAAGAAAAAAAGATCCATTCAAAACTTAGTTCTAGAAAAATATCTTATAAAATAATATGTCAAAGTAATTAGTCACAATCATGAATTTTAAATCAAACATTTGAAAATATCAAATAACACATGAATACTTCTAAGATTTAAAATTTTGAAAGAGTGGAGAGCTTGCTTTTGGTGGGCTCATTTTATGTCTCTTGTTAATTAATTAGAGCACTTTGCACATCTTTTGATTTTTATACTCTTTGTGTATCTGTTAATTTTTTTTTTGCAGTCATTGCACTTCTTTTCATATTATTTTATCTTTTTGGGCTCATTTTATGCCCTTGACATTTTTTGCAAGTTAGATCCCTTTTCAAAACTCTTAAATACTCTCAGTTGTGAGTATATCTTTCATATATTAGAGAAGAAAAACTCACTCTCTAATATAAGGAAGAGTAAACCACAAAGAAGAGTCAAATTCATATGGAAGAATAAAAGGAAGTTCAATTTTAATGCCATTAATTTCACGTGACGGAGGTGAATAACCTTCTTTCACAAGTATCCACATGCGATATTCAATCGATTATAAAAATGTAGACATGTAAGTTTTCCAAAAATAAAAAAGAATATTGTCAAACAAAGGTGATCAGGTAATAGAATGTCATACTGCAGTATTACGATTACCGAAGTTAGCTATGGATCGAAATTCAAAAGTTTTCAAAAACCTGATTTTACGAATCCCGCTCTGATACCACTTGAAAGTTCATCAGGGATGTTAAGCCCTTATGAACTAGCCCAAAGATAATCAAGAGGGGGGTGAATTGGTATTTACAAATTTTCTCAATCAAATAAACAAACTCAAGTCAAACCAAAAAAAACATCACAAGGAAAATGAAGTGTAGAAATTAAATACAAAAAAAGTAGTAAAAAAGAAAACATAAATTTATAGTGGTTTAGTCAACTTGACCTACATCCACTCTCTGGAGCATCTCCTCCGGGTATTGCACTAAATTCAGTGACTCTCCTTTTACCCCCATAACAAGGCCAATAATCTTGTACAAACCTTCTTTCCACTGACCCTGGTGAGGTAGAGAACTCAACTCCTTTTGCTTCCTCCTGAAGCAGGCACAGAACCTGACTCCTTTTGCTTCCTCCTGAAGCAGGCACAGAACCCGGTCAATTGCTAAAGTAGACCTCTCTTGAACCACCGAGGAATAAGGGACGACAACCGGAGAATATGACTCAAATCCTTTCTTGGATTAACCTTTGTGAACCCCTCACAAACTCCCCCTCACAAGATCCTCTCTCTATCTCTCTCTCCTTTGCTCTCCCTCTCCTCTAGGCTCTCTCACATCAAGATAAAAACAAAAGATACACTCGTATGTAAATAAGATGTCTTAAATAGAAGAGCTTTAGATTTGCTCTTAATTGCAACATACCGACATTATCGTCTAAGAAGATCGGCCGATCATCTCGTACGATTAATATAAATTCAGCTCAATCAGTCAGGATGATCTAGGAGAGTCTAGACGAATAGAAGGTTCATTTATTCAGATTATCCAGGATGATAGGATATCATCCTGTAAGATTAGTTCAAGTCATCGAATATCATCCAGACCATCACCTTGGATGGATGTCTAGATGATGAAAAAATAACTTGATCGTTCAGGACGATCTCACGATTGTCCGGGCCAATTAATACAAAATAATGAATATCATCCAGAACATCACCCTGGATGCATTTCTGGATGATAAAAAAATAATTGATCGTCTAGGACGATACAGAATCGTCCCGGATGATTAGTACAAAATAATACACATCGTCTAGAACATTGCCGTAGTAGTCCATGATGAAACTAAGGTTTGTTTAACTGACCATCCTGGACGATATGATATAGCAATCAAACCTTAATTACCAGAGCAGACAGAATTGTACTACATCGTCTAGGATGATGTCCAAAAATAAAATATGCCTAAATAAATCTGGCGGTTGATTCTTTTTTATTTGAGCCTATCGTCCAGGACAATGTTAATATCGTCCAGCATGATTTGCTTAATTGCGGCTCCCTTAACCAGGATGCCCTAATTAGGGTTTCTATTTTTAACTAATTGTCCAGGATGATTTTGTATTATCTCGGACGATATGATCGAAAGCAGAAAACTCTAAAATTGTCAGAATTTATCCCCCGAGTGTGTGTTTGCAAGGTTACTAAGCATCAGGGCTCACATAATTATAATGGACTCAGTAAAAGGTAAAAGACACTTGACTTACATTACAAGCTGACTCAGTCCTAATTACCCAATCTTGAGTTAGTTTGATTTGCAATTTGATCTTATGGACCTGAAATGTTAGTAGGCAAGGCAATCGTAGAAAAACAGAAGTAACAAAAATGTATGTTATCATCAAAATTATAAGTCCTGAAACCAGATTCGCAACACGATGAAAAAGAATTTTTGGAATAGCCTGTAAAGAATGCTATGGAAGTAAGCATGCCAATATCATTCTGCTAACTTCTTTCGTTATCACTGCTCTTGAGTGCAAACTCTCTATAGGATTGTATCTATTTATAGCATAAACTTGATTTCCAATTTGTGGTTTCTTTTAATAGATGCATTTTCTAAATGCAAGAACTTCACTTGGGACAATATTAACATTTTATTTTTGGTCAATTGTCACATTTTATTTGACTATAATTTTACTTCTTTAGAGAGGGTCATCTTAGATAGTTTAGCCATATAAAATATCAGCCTTCTGATGACTCGGTTAGAGAGTATATTTATTAGAATTGATCGATGTTAAAAAGGTAGAGGTATACCTAAAAAAGGCTTGGTTAAAAAATATTAGAAAATATATTTTTATTAGATTTAAATGATAATTTTATTCTTAACATGACACAATGAAGAAAAAGTATTCATGTAGCTGGTGGGATAAAGGGTTGATGATGTTGTTGTTGTATAATTTTATAGCTTTTTTTCAATCATTTTTATGATGAGAGTTTTTTATAATAAATATTTTCTAGAGTGGGATAAGAATACGAAAGTTATTGACTCTTTTTTCAAAAGATAAAAAGGTAAATTAAACACAGTAATATATATATATATATATATTAGACAATATCATCAAAACTTGTAAGCATGTGATTTGTTGGTAACATATCATAGGTTTCTTGGTAACATGCACAAAATTGATAGAATTTGAAGTTCATTTTTTATATAAATTTTTAATTATCTTTTGGATCCCTCGATAGTTGTGGTGTCTGCAATAAAGGTATGAATAATTCTATTAGGACTTTATATTATGATATCATTGCGATTGATTTATGAAATTTTACTATGTAAGATTTTAATTAATGAATTTTGGATTCCTATATTACTGTTTTATTTTAGATATCTTCTGATGTAATGTCGTACCCTTTTTGTCTTTAGCTGATAGTTGATAGTGGAATCAACTCATACTAGCTGTTTGTTTGATATTGTTGCATATTAATATTATCATTTTTTTTAGTTAACATAAAAAGATGTAGTCATTATGATAGTGATTTTCCCCTTGCAAAAGAGGAATTGATGACAGGATGGACTTGTATGTTATAACATGAATTGAAAAAATGGATCTTATCTTATCTATATGTTTTGGTTGATATAGTAAATTAATAATGATAGATTTTTTATAAATTGAAGTGATCAATTCTTATGTATTAATCTTTAGTTATAAAGTAATGTGGAATTTGGATAAAATGATTTGTTTATTGAGATACTTTCATTTCTTAATTTCGTCTGATCATTATGATATGCCAATTGTGGAACTACTAAATAGTCTTTCAACTCTTTATAATTGTTTAAGTACTTACATATACTATAACAGATAGAAGAAATCTATATTTTCTTTTTTGAAATATTTTTCCCTCATTAGTTTTGATCAAAGTTAAAAAATATATCATTTTTCATTAATATAATTAAAATTTTGAATTACTCATAGGGATAAAATTAATGATTTTATCTTTTTATCAAAGAAAATATAATTTAAATTTTGATGATATGAATTTTTATATTTAAATTTTTATTCACATGCAATTAATGCAAGTACAATAAATCTAATTATCCCGATTCCCGGCTGCAATTTTTTCTTTTTAAAAAATTATCTGAGATATTTTAAGCAACATTATTGCATTGAATTTCCATCTATGTAACGAACTCCATTTTTGAGATTCACATTAAGTGCCAAAACAATGACTATTTACATATAGCCTTTTCTCACATAAATAGGCACTTTTTTAAAGTGAAATTTCCCTTCAAAAGATTGTGTTGGGAAAGTAACCCTCACAACATCTACAAATAAGAAAGAGAAAATGCAAAAAAAAAAAAAGACTTTCAGGATTTAATGTGGAAAAATAAAAATTTTGAAAAAGATCGGAGAGCCACACATCACCAAGAAATTCATAATGAAAATTGTGAGAATTGGTACACATCTCTTTCTTCATCGTTCTCTTCCTGTCTCTTTTTATTCCTTGCACTGTTCTATACACATAATAGATAAAGAGACAAACATAAAACTTACCAAGGTATGCAACATTGCTACACCAGGTTTGGAGTGCCATGACATAGCAATCTATTTCTCTAGTATGACTAACAGTATAATAGCATGGAAATCTAGAGTGTTGTGGCTCTTCTCTCTCTTTTATCTCCAACTCAACAATACAGTATTGCAGTGCTATTCAGAAAAAAAAGGGTACAAAACATCAAAATCCAAGCACGTGGAGGACCTATGCAATCCGTCAACGAGCTCAACTAACATAATTGAGGTCCCATACAATAATACGACTTGATTGATCGACAAAATCAGATTCTACACAGAGTTAAAAATTTATTATATTTGTGAGTTGGATTTTTCTATTTTGTAAATTAAATTACCCATTTTATAAAAAAATCTAATTATTTGATATAAAATTCTCTAATTAACTAACAATTATCTTATGCCCTAAACTAAATTCTAACTTAGAATACTATCAAAATTTTGTGCGTTCTTTTTTTTTTTCCTTTAAAAAATAACAAGTTATGTCGTGGGAAAGCTGTAAGTATATTCTAAATTTTCAACACTCATCATTAGCTGTTATATTTATACCTGATCAAACATAGGGCCAAATCTGATGGCTACACCTTCAAAAAAATTAAATTGATGGGAATGCAAATATTATATAACTTCATATCAAATTAAAGCTTAAGAAAAAATCAGCAAGTTGGTTTTTATTAAACCAGCCCAAGCAATAAACATTTGTTTCCTTCACTATAGGACAAAACCCTTATTTGATCTCTTCTTACACAACCTAATTTTCCCTTAAAATAATGATTTATATTATAAACAAAATTCCTAATAACCTCATTAAGCGCAATAATCCACCTCCTATAAAGACCCACCTACACTTGGCTTACTCCTCCAAATTGTCCTAAGCACAGCTTCAAAGTTATATTCTCATGGCGACTTCTTCTTCTCTACTCTCCTGTTATATTCTTCTCAATCTCCTCTTCTTTTTGCTTCTAATTGAAAATAATTTTCTAGTATCAACGCAAGAGCTTGCTGGAGAACACCATGTCATTGACGTCAAGTCACTATTGCCGAGCAGCTCCTGCTCCATGCCTGATAAAAGTTTGCGAACAATTTCAATAATTTCTTAATACCCTATTAGAGACTATTTTTTCATAAATTAATTAGAATAATAATAAATCATGCATCAATTAAGCTCATTCAATAGATATCACAAGCTTAAATGTGATGCAAAACCAAAAAATTCATTACATATATTAATTAGCTGTTCAATTGTGACAGGCACGAGCCCTTCCAAGCTCACGGTGGTCCATAGGGATGGGTGGTGCTCATCTCGGGCACGCCAAGACAAACAATCCCATGTGGAGCTCCTCCGTCGTGACCAAGCCCGTGTCAAAAACATCCACCAACAGGCTGCCAGTCCAACCTCTCGCCTCAACCCTGTTCGAGGCTCTCTTTTTGCAAGAGTTCCGGCAAACATCGGCAAAGCTTATCATACCGTGAACTATATCATCACCATAGGACTAGGTACCCCTACAAAGTTCTTCACAGTTGAGTTCGACACTGGTAGTGATCTCAGTTGGACCCAATGTGCTCCCTGCTATAATTGTTACACCCAAAAAGATCCATTTTATGACCCAACCCAGTCATCCACCTTCTCTGACATCTTATGCACCTCTGACTATTGTTTTGATCTCGATCAATTTGGTTGCTCGTCTACCTCCACATGTCTCTTCCATGAAGAATATCATGACTATTCTTATACCAATGGCTCCTTCGTTCAAGACACCTTGACATTCTCCTCTGATATTATACAGAACTTCCGCTTCGGCTGTGGACATAACAACACCGGGCAATTCGGACAATTAGATGGTTTATTAGGCCTCGGTCGTGGGGCTATTTCAATTATTTCCCAAACAGCTCAATTGTATAATAAGGTATTCTCATATTGTCTACCATCACGGCCCAGTGCAACTGGATATCTCGAACTAGGTAGCTCTATCCCTGGTGTAATTTATACACCGATGCTAACTGACCAAGACCTTCCATCATTTTACTTCATCAAGCTCATTGCCATTTCTATTGGGGGTTCACGGCTCGACCTTTCACCTACTGTATTCACAGACCCTGGAACCATATTGGACTCTGGCACAGTGATTAGCTACCTGCCGCCCACTGCCTACTCCGCCCTCCGCAACACTTTTCGACAGTACATGACCAAATACCCAGTAGCGCCACCACTGCCCAGTCTTGACACATGTTATGACTTAACTAACTACACGATAATGTACATTCCATCGATTGCGTTGATCTTTGACGGCGAAGTGACAACTACCTTAGATTCCATGGGGATAGTTTATGGGTTAAGTAAATCTCAAGTGTGCTTAGCCTTCACTGAAAATAATGATGATAGTGTGGTTGTGGTCATTGGTAATGTGCAACAACGCAGGTTCAATATAGTCTATGATGTGGGGAACTTAAAAATTGGCTTCGGAGCTAATGGTTGTGACTAGTGATGGATTGATCAAGTCAATTGGGTTAAATGCTATGTATTATTGTAGCTAGAATGAATTGGTTTCATCATGTTGGTTATAAAATCAGGGCGTTTGAGACAATAAATGTAGCCATGAAAAAAAAAAATCAATTTTATCCAAATTTTATGAAATAATTAAATATTAAATGAAGAAAATTCTATATGATTTTATGAAAACCATTAAGATGTGCTTATTTTCTTTATAATTAAGGGGGTCATCATAATAATTGTTAGACATTAGAATTTCTATTATCAGAGGTAAAATGTCATATTTATTTACAAAAAAGCTTATACTTAGCTCAAATCTTTTGGTCCGCACTTGCTCTATCAAAATCAAATCAAATCCAATACACTCTTACTTCATCATCATGCATGTACTACCGGAGCCACGGTGGGGGCATTGCAGCACGTGCCCCCACTAGCCCATTAGGAATTTTTTTTCTAATAAAGAAATGGTAAGATGGGCCTCTTAGGCTTTACTGAAATAACAAAGTTTTTTAACATTAAAAAAAAATAACTGGAGTTTTATAACATAAAAAAGAATAAAGATCATCCGTTGTGGTGATTTTTATTCACTGTCAGACCCCTTACAAAGTAAAATCGTCAATTTTTTCTTAATCTTAACCCACTTGGTTCTCATTTTGGCTTCAATTTTCTTTTTTATTGTGTTCTGTAAATGGAAGCATTTAAGGATTGTCAATTTTGCCAACCCATTGGGCCGTATAACTTAACACCTTAAAGCTTTGAAGCAACAAAACTCATATTCCTTAAATATGGGGACATCTATGCAAATTTAGGCAAACTCACATGCAAATCATATACACAGCCTTAAAATACAATACCTCTTATTGGAAGCTCTCAACAAAGTTTAGTGATGATGAATTATGTGATTAATATTTGTGTAATTTTGAAGATTTTTTTTTAAATATTATGCTCACATACAAAAAAAAAAAAAAAAATCTGGCCCGGATTGTCAATTTTGCCAACCCATTGGGCCGTATAACTTAACACCTTAAAGCTTTGAAGCAACCAAACTCATATTCCTTAAATATACACAGCCTTAAAATACAAGACCTCATGTTGGAAGCTCACAACAAAGTTGCGTAATGATGAATTACGTGATTGAAATTTGTGTAATTTTGATGATTTTTTTTTAAATATTATGCTCACATACAAAAAAAATCTTGGCTCCTCCACTACCTTCATGCATCATGTATGTGTATGTTCATCCATAAAAAAAGTTCTAACTCCAACTTAGGCTTTAGTGAGTGGGGCAAAAGGCGTTGACATTGAAGCCCTTTCCAAAGTGTCTAATTAAAATTTTGCATTTCATCTGACTAGTGATATAATTTTATATGTTCCAAACACATTAAGCTCTTATAATAAAATAAAATAGAAACATTTAGGGGGAATGAGGGACAAATGTTGTCACTCAAAATAATTTTTAGGCTTTTCGAATCTGATTGTGTTGATCAATTGGATTGTTATGTTGCTTCGGACCTCAAGTTTCTCCTGCTCGCTAAGGGGTGAGGGGGTTTACCCCCTGCTTAGGTTTGGCTACTTCGCACCCAAAATTTTTTTCATAAAATGCCTCGGCGTTAAGACCCGAGCGCCCCGTTGCTATGTATTCGAGCGCCTCGGCTCTGTGTTCCCAAGCTCCCCAGCATTGAACGATAATGAGCGAAGTGATACAATAGATCAAGATAGTGGTTTAAGTGCCGTAGCGCCTCAAACTTGCATCGTAGCGCTACGAGATGGATTGGATTATTTTCTTTCTCATTTTTCTGAAGGTTTACATCCCTTCAGGCTATTTTACTTGCAATAAGAGAGAGAGAGAGAGAGAGAGAGAGAGAGAGAGAGAGAGAGTGTGTGTGTGTGTGTGTGCGTGAAGAGAGATTTGTTTTTATTTCTTCCAATTTTCAATGTGGATTTCTTAGTGTGGTGTCGCTTTGTAACTTTTTTCCTATTTTGAGGTTTTCAA